CTGTGCAGCCATGTATGACCACATAACATCACATCAAAAAAATAACAAACTGTGGGTGTCACTCACTCAACTGTGGGTGCTCATGCACTCCTTAATGGAGCTATCACACTGCACAACCTTAATATGGTTTTAATTGTCAAAGTAATTGCAAAGACATGAATGCCACAGCCTCGACAGAGAGGAACAATAAGATCTCAGAGGCAGCTGTTCTACTGACACCATTTTCACTTAATTCTTTGTCAGTGACTGAATGTAAAAAAAAAAAAATGGAGATAGCAGGGTTCTGAAAGGCTGCACTGATCTAAGGAGATGTAAAAAAAAAAATCTAAATTATAAAACAATTTTTCTTTTTACCAGTGGCAACAGGGAAGTAGACTCTATTTTTCTATTCTTGATTATTCTTATAGACTGGTGCCTGGATGTATGTCTTACGCCACCCAACCCCCACCCTACAAACTGCACTGAAGCTGCCCAGCCCTGTCAGGGGATGCCAGAACTGAGGATGTGAAATTGATTTTAGGTTACGCAGTTAATCGTATTGCAGATTCTTCCGTCTTCTCTCTTCTTCAACAATCCCTCCCATTCCTCAGTTACAGCTGCTCTGCAGTACACTATCATTACCAACAGTGGTCCCTCTGCCCCCCAGTGATCAGTTATCAGGTTTGGTCACCTTCACTTTGAAGTTGTGTCAGCGCCCTGCAGTAGTAAGAGATGAGTTGTCCTGCACGTATTTTTTCCAACCGGCAACTACAGTACGAGCACAAACACACGGACGATGTGATGAATCAGTGTGTAAATCCCGCTGCAACAAGTGTGAAAAGCATTGCCAAAAAATGCTGTTTATGCAATTCAAAACAGGCAATTTGTGGTGTGAAAACAGCAAAAATCTGTCGTTCCAAAGCAAATGAAAGCCTCACTCATTCCCTGAGGCTGACAGTGTGTCCAGAAAACAACAGTTTCTTAACCATTGAGAGTCAGTGAGAAGGTTTTGCTTTTTAAAAGTCTGGCAATGCTCTGATTTTGGGACATTTTTTTTCAAGACTTAGATATCCCTCAACAGAACATGCTGTGAGTCTGCTCATGTATGTTGGCTACAGCAGAGGCCGATGTGCCTGATCCACCTCTCTGATTCATTTTTTACCTGCATATTTGATCTGCTCACTGTGCTTCTCTAGTACATTGACTCCTGGAAGTGCAGTAATTTTGCTTTCTAAAAATAAGCTTCTTTATGAGGAAGTTTGGCTACGACAAGAAAATATTTTGACATTTTGGGAAATCTCAAAGAATATCTTCTTCGAAATTATAATTTTCTGGATGTATCACACACAAGTGGGAAAATATTACTTCAAAAATATGCCAACCATAAAAAAAGATAGCATTATTTTTTTATTCAGTTGCATTATGAGCTATACTCTTATTGCTAATATTATCATGTCTCTTTTGAAAGAAAATATTTTCCTCACTTTTATTTGTTCACATATTAAATAAATGATTCTGCTATTATTTTGGAGATTTTTTTTGTGTTTATTTCAGTCATTTACAAATATTTTATTTTGTCTTTTCCATTGTTTTCTTATTTAAAAACTCACTTACAACAAGTGTAACACAGAATAAGATGTGTGAATAAGTGATTACCAACCTGAGGGTCGGGACCCCCAGGAGAGGCCAGAAAATTCAGAGAGAGGTGGGGAGATTATTTTTCTTAGCTGTGCTCAAACAAAACAAGGATGAAAATCATTTTTGAAGTACAGTATGCAGCCAGTTATGGGGGTCATCTGAGATAATAATTGTTTTAAGGGGTCACAAGCTGGAAAGGTTGGGATCCAATGCTTTAAAGACCGTAAGTTGTAATGGGACAACCAGTCTGGAGACAAGGATCTAAAGTGGCCTGATAGAGAGGTATGAAAATACATATACGACTTTATCTTTTGTTGGAAGTGAGACTCAGTAGAAGATAAAGGAGTCCCGTAGAAAGGGTCATTGTATACACTTAATGCAAGGGAATAGACAGAATCGGTGAAGTCATACAACCATGTGGCCGACTAGCAGCCGATATTCATTACTCCCGTCTCATGTGGGCTGCTGCTGTGTTCCTGTCTGTGTTCTCCGTAGTGCAACTAAACTGCAGCTCTGTGCTTTCCCCATATCTAATTAAAGAGAAATGTGATGTTGAATGTCCTCTCTCTGACCCCCTATCACGCCAGTTTTACTGCAAACACTACATCAGCGCCTCATAAACTTTTTATCTGCTTTCCCAGAATTTTTTTTTTTTGCAACCGTGCTTTAAAGTTACCGCTCTTTAATCCTAATGTGTTTTATTCACTTTCAAAGATTTTTTAAAAAGCTCGGGGAAAAATAACACTATTAATAAAAGCTTTTGGAAAACAATTTATTTAGAAGAACTTTGACCATGTTTTTTACACTTCTGACTTCTTAACTTTCAACCAAAGTCTTTGAAACAGGATACAGACGAGATTAAAGGAGAACAGAAGGCTTGAGATGAGATGCAGTTATGAGAAAAAAAAGGTGTGAGTCAGCTGGTCCCATTATCCCCTGCCAGTAAACAACTCCTGCTCATCCTCCACACTGCCCCTACACCAGTCACTATACTTCTGCTCCTCTATTGTCGCTGTCCTGTCTGATGATCAGTCCGCACTTACTCAACATCTGATTCAGAGGCTCAATTATCTGCTGAAGTGCAACGTCGAGTCATCCAACCTCAAGCATTTTGGGAAAATAATTACCTGAAGTTCATCATTTAATACCTCTGAAATATGCTTTCATCTTGCACCTGTTATGATTTTCTCACATGTTCCCGAGTCAATCATTTCTTCACTGGTGAGTTATGTATGTGGAGGCATCAGTTACTCTTTAAAGTCATATTTGGATGGTGCTACCAGAGGTTTCTGTGCTGGAGCTCCACACTGGAGCAGTATGAGGTGGAGGATACTGCAGTGCTTGGCTTGCTCTGCTTGTTTGCTCGGCTGCTGGCTGCTACTCCACCATCCAGGGTCATTTTTTCCCCCCAGAAATCAGGGATTATTTCGAACTAAAATAGATGGATGGAATCAATCAGCCATGGTTTTACTTTTCTCTTCTTCTACATAACCGCCCCCTTTCACCTCCACCCTCACACCCTTTTCTCTCTCTCTCTCTCTCTCTCTCTCTCACTCTCTTTCTGTCTCCCCCACCCCCCTCTCAGGGCTGCAGACTGAGGAGATGCATAAATTCAAACGCATTAGTATTCCAGTCAGGCTCTCCATTTCAAGGCAAGGCCTATAGCACCCTTCCGCCTCTCCTCTTCTCCTCTCCCTCCTTCACTCTCCCTCTCCAGCTCTATTTTTGAATCATTTAAGCAGTGCTGCATCTATAGGCCTACTTATTTCCAAAACCGTCCCTAAATTATTTTTAGGCATTATGATTTTTTTATTTATTTATTTATTTATTTTAAGAAATATAGCTCTATTTTGCCCTTGCATGGCCAATTATACGCAGCTGTAGTCTTTGAAATGAGATTCATCTGCTTCTGATTGTGTGTATGTGTGTGTGTGTGTGTGTGTGTGTGTGTGTGTGTGTGTGTGTGTGTGTGTGTTTGTCATTGTGTTTGTGTCAGGCCCAGCAGCCCAGGCGATAAATCACGCATGTCTGATTGAGGAGGGCAGAGGGCCCGGACAATAACATTTTAGTGGAACTGCTGGAGAAAGCGTCTCAGTTTGCTGTGATCTGTGGAGCCTGCAGACCTGCAGCCAGGGTCCTGTTGAACCACTGGATATTTTACAGCTGTTAGTGACACGGAAAAAGTTGGAGAAGTTGCCTTTTGACATGACATTGAAACTGAGTGAAGGTTATGCTGCTTAGTCATAGTTGTATTTGTGCGTACAGATATGTGAATGGACAATCATATTTCTATGAAATACGATTTCTACAAGTCATAAATTTAGATTGAACCATTACTCAGTACAGGATCTTCAAATTATGCAAAAATTTAAATAGAGTATTGAATCGAGAAATTTAATTCTACATTTTGATTATTGCTTTCACAATTAATAATAATAATAATGATAAAAATAATAATTATAATAATAATAATAATGATAACAATAATAATAATAATAATAATATTTTAAAGTCTATTTCCAAATTCTAAATCTTCAATATTTATTCATCAGAAGTTGAATTCTGTTTTGGACAGTAAGCAGTTGTAGCAAGAAATTGTTTATTACAACATACATAGTTTATTTCAAAACATAATACAAGCTTTATACTGAAAATAAATAATCACTTGAGCTGTCATCGAAATTTGGAATAAAACCGCCGAAACAGTTCAATCTTACTGAAAATATTGTTTGTTTGTTTTTTTTTTTTTTTTTTACATTGCTAATTAAGTGCATGAATAACTAAGAGCATTTGTTTAAATTAATGACTTCAAAAGGGTAATATATAAAACTGTACAATATTCGAAAAAATACTTAAGAAATAAACCAAATAACAGGAGTATTTAAGATTATAAAATTTTGATACTGAACGTACAATAAAATTATAGGCAGGTGTATAGCGTCAGTCAACCCCTCTTTCTATTCTCGGCTCTGTTTCAGAGTCCACACAGTTTATATGGTCGAAGATGATTGAAATCAAATAAATGGATTTATAAATAGCTCTAACTGTGTGTGGCNTACAGGATCTTCAAATTATGCAAAAATTTAAATAGAGTATTGAATCGAGAAATTTAATTCTACATTTTGATTATTGCTTTCACAATTAATAATAATAATAATGATAAAAATAATAATTATAATAATAATAATAATGATAACAATAATAATAATAATAATAATATTTTAAAGTCTATTTCCAAATTCTAAATCTTCAATATTTATTCATCAGAAGTTGAATTCTGTTTTGGACAGTAAGCAGTTGTAGCAAGAAATTGTTTATTACAACATACATAGTTTATTTCAAAACATAATACAAGCTTTATACTGAAAATAAATAATCACTTGAGCTGTCATCGAAATTTGGAATAAAACCGCCGAAACAGTTCAATCTTACTGAAAATATTGTTTGTTTGTTTTTTTTTGTTTTTTTTACATTGCTAATTAAGTGCATGAATAACTAAGAGCATTTGTTTAAATTAATGACTTCAAAAGGGTAATATATAAAACTGTACAATATTCGAAAAAATACTTAAGAAATAAACCAAATAACAGGAGTATTTAAGATTATAAAATTTTGATACTGAACGTACAATAAAATTATAGGCAGGTGTATAGCGTCAGTCAACCCCTCTTTCTATTCTCGGCTCTGTTTCAGAGTCCACACAGTTTATATGGTCGAAGATGATTGAAATCAAATAAATGGATTTATAAATAGCTCTAACTGTGTGTGGCTTCACGAGCTACAGGCCATAGGGGAGGAATTGAATCAAAAAAAAAAATCCTCCAAGTGCTATTATGTTGGTAGCAATACCTCTACAACTGGAATGAGGGCCTATATTTGCATATGCAAAAATAATTACAGATCTGCTACGAGTATGTTACAAAATAATGAATGTAAATATGTTGAGAACTAAAGCATTGTATAAGCCCGAGGGAAGCGTGAGGTGGACTGTAAAATGGCCTCTGGTGCTGCAACAAATCAATTAAGAAAAGTGATATTATTATCAGTTTCACTCCACTGATCATACAACAGAGGCAAAGCCCAAACAAAACAAAACAAAACCATCATCAGTCCCACCCTATCATTATTATCGAGCTGATGAGAAATGGTGACACAAACCAAAGGCGCTGGCAGGTTATTAGGCACATTTTGTATTTATATCCGTGATGTAGAAAATAATTTGTCGGGCTCCAAAAGTGATCTGAAATGTGACGTTTGATATGCCGCTATAGAATAATGCCCTCATGACAGTTAGAAAATGACGAAGGCTGAACGGGTATCTCTGTTATTGTTATTGTCGTCTGTCAGTGCTGGAGGCATCTGGAGGAGTCTGTACCGGGACAGGCACGGCGGTTGGAAGGTGCCACCGCGCGCCCCGTGCGCTCGAGAGTCTGTGCCGGGGGATTCCTCCCGGTGCTTCGGTCAGAGATCATGACACGAGGAGGCGTCTCCCGCGCTCCCGCTGTGAGAATAGGGTCCCTCGTGCGGCGGCGGTTCTCCCGGCGGCGTCATGCGCTTCTCCTTCTGCCTCCGGTTGCAGAACCACACGCGCACCACCTCCTTCTCCAGCTGCAGCGTGTCCGCGAGCGAAGTGATCTCCTGCGCGGAGGGTTTGGGACACTTGAGAAAGTGCGTCTCCAGAACCCCCTTCACGCTGACCTCGATGGACGTCCTCTTCTTCCTCTTCCTCCCCTGAGCTGCTATCTTGTCTATACTGCTAGAGCTGCCTGTGGACGAGTCTGCCTCCTCCAGCCACTTGTTCAGCAGCGGCTTTAGTTTGCACATGTTTTTAAAGCTCAGCTGCAGAGCCTCGAACCTGCAGATGGTGGTTTGGGAAAAGACGTTACCGTACAGAGTGCCCAGAGCCAAACCCACGTCCGCCTGCGTAAAGCCCAGCTTGATCCTCCGCTGTTTGAACTGCTTGGCAAAGTGCTCCAGCTCGTCCGAAGTCGGCGTCTCCTCGTCGGAGTGGTCGTGGCAGTGGTGCCCGCCGAGGTCGCTGTGCTCGGGGCTGAGTGTGTCCCTGAGGCCCGGGTGCATGCCTTGGCCCTGCGGGTTGGGTGGAGGTGTGAGCCCACCGTGGTCCAGCATGCCGTTGACAGTGAAGCCCGTCTGGGAGTAGATGTTGATCTGCTGCCCGCTGGTGATGGAGGAGTTGTGGGACACCGGAGTTCCCCAAGCTCCCGGGTGGTTGCCATGGTTGTTGTGATGAGGGGAGTGATGCGCTACGTGCGGGGAGCGGTGATGGATGATGCCGAGCTGCAGGTCCTCTCGGCCTGGTTTGACGTCCTGCTGCTCCATGGAGGCCGACCAGGGGCTGCCCTCCGACAGGCTGCTCGCCCACTGGTGCCCGAGGGGGTGTCCGTTGCTCTGGACGCTCTGCAGGTAGTCACTCTGGAGGAGTTTCTGGTGTCCTCTGTAGGGGCTAGCAGGCTGCATGGCCTGGCTGTCCGGGTGGATCATGGGACTGGAGCTGAGCAGGGTGTAGGGGCTGGAGGCAGCTGTGGCCATGCTGGCTGCTGAACCCCACTAGTGCTACTGAAGGGAGGGAGCAGTTCAGCCTCTGACATCTCCCTCTCTCTGGAGTCTCGGCAGCAGCCTAACGCTGACTGACAGCCTCCACCACCACTCACAGACCGACGGAGACGCAGTGACGGCGCGTTTCCACCAATGACGGCGCAGATACCCGAACCGCCGCCTCTGGAAGCAGAGCTGCGGGTAGGAAAGGGTTACAGCCAGTCGAACCGGAAGTGAGTCGGAGTGCTGGTCCAGTGGGTCTGGCTGTGGAACGATGTGCGCGTGGAGCGCAGTTCCTGTTTATTAATTAAAGTTTCCAACTGATTTACGCACGAGTTTATTGCTGCTCCTGTCACCCTTGAGCGCTTGCGAAGGAGGAGATTAAAGCGCAATGGCATTTGTTAGACGTGCCAGCACTTAATTTAGAGGGATACAATCAAACCAAGAGCAGTCCTCACTGCTAATGATTAACTTTTAGAGAATACTTCCTCAGGTGTTCACAGAATGACACGTCCCAAGATAGTGTTTACGCAAAGGTGTTTACGCACGGGCCATTATCCGAATCCAATCTGGTCAGATAAAAATAAGGCATGTCATGGGCCTATAATTCCAATTTAGTCTTTAAAAAAAGATTTGGAAGCTTTCTACTGCTACACAGGGACACATATAATCACTGGACACGTTTACAACCTCAAACCTCATCATTTCTACATTTTCTCTAAGAAGTCAATGAATCCTCACACACCAGACATTCCCACTTGCAGTCTTTAAGAATCTCATCAGGTCCTCTCAGAGTTGAAAAAGATCTATCTGCATATCTGAGAGCAAACTTAGCTGCGTAATTATATTTGCCATTAGACGACTGCGTCCCAGTCTCCTTATTGGTTTGAAATTCCATTAAACATATTGCTCGAGCTCCCAGGTTAAGCTTGATTTAAATTTGCATACATTTTCATACATTTAGGAGAAATAAAAGAAGGCTGCAGCCACCAGAAAGTCATTAAAGAGCGCTGAGCCGAGGAGCTGGCTGCGGGGACAGAGGCAGAGACGAGGCCGGAGCAGGTGAGCTGACCGCGGGGCAGGATGTGTGGACAGGGCCGCTGGAGGGTGGACGGACAGGGCCTCGGGAACCGGAGGAATGACGGAGTGAGGGAAGGGTGATGACAGGACAGCGTTTGCTCTGAAGCCTCGTGCAGCCTACGGTAGCCCACAGGCCTGGAATAATTCATCATATTTATATGTTTGTTGTTTTGTTCTGGTTCTAACTCCAGCGTGGTGCTGGGCTGTAAATTCTTCATGTAGTTTACTCTTGGAAACTTCAGTGAAAGGTGCTGAATATTTGATGTGAATGGCAGTGTTGTTCTAGTGCCCCAGTTTGCTGAACTGGATTCCTTCGTTTGAGTTGTTATGGGATGGAAATGATGCAGAATTACACGCAAAAAAACACAGGATCTGTAGCACAGACGCGTTTCAATACAATCCCTGCATTTTCAGACATGTCACATTAAATGACACGCAAAAGCCAAAGGACTTTGGAAGATGAATTTAATGAAAAATGTTGCCCACAAACTAAAGAAATTATATCTGAGCCTGTAGCATTAACTCAATTTGAGGTTTTAAAATTTGCTGGACTGATTCCGCGTTCAGAATTGCTAAAAAAAAGACAAAAAACAAAAAAACAAAAAACCAAACAAAATAAAAAAAATACAGGCTAAATATTTTTTTTGTTTTGTGACAAAAATACTCTGCATTTTTTTGCGCAGCATAGAGCAGACAGGAAAGCGACTTGGAGAGGGGGTTGTATTGCTCTCGATAGTCTAAGTTTCTAAGTGTAACAGATGCTTCTCTAGAAACGCTCCTTGTGCTGATTCCTTTTATTCACATCAACATTTTTCTGCCGTCGAGCGCGTTTCCATAGCGAGGCGAATAAAAGGCAAATCCCCGCTCCGCGCCTCCAATAAAGAGCCCATTCACAGATAACCCGAGCCAGCCCTGCTACACTTACACCATGCAGCACTGCAGGCTCTCTCCACCAAGGTGCACATTACTGCGAAATAACAACGACTAATGACTCATAATTTCTTGAATCTTGTCCGTATGAAATGCGAGTTTACGGCTGTTTGTCGTGTTTGTTTAGCGGCTTGTTTGTGTTTATTTAGCGGCTCTGACTGAATCTTATGGTGATTATCTTCTGACAGACTATTTGCCGTTGGCAGAGGAGTAAATAAAAAAAATATGGGCAAAGAATGACCTCACTCAGGTGATCTTCACTTATATTATCTGACAAGCTATTTATTTATATCCGTCTACAGGCCTGTGGCTTAACGCCTGTATTTACTTCACAAAGATTTATTCAAACACTGTGGTTTGATCCGGATTGATTGTTATTCGGAAAAAGAATTTTAAAGAAACTGTCTCCAGTTGATTTTTTCTGCCTCTGTGGACATTTACAAAACAGAAATATGAAATATTTATGCTCATCACATTTGGAGAGTGTTGAATTTAGATCTTTTTGCAAGATCACCATGTTTCCATGGCTCAAACAAAAATGATAATTTTTCTATGGAGGTTTTGTGTGTCTTTCTCAATGTTTATTATATATATGTATTTTAAATATGACCGTATAATATTTTCTACAGCCGCGTAATAATCCAATCGTGCTTCAGTCTTGCTGTTGCCTCTGCAGGCCTGTATTACCTCTTTCTAGAAAACTATGAAAATGTTAATGCAGTTCGTTTTAGTATGAGAGTTTGACTGTGCAGCTCAAAGTAATGGGGTGTTTGTACATTTAAAAAAAAAAGAAGTCCCCCCCAGTTTCATTAGACTTTGTTTCCTCCATCCACCAGTTCAGTGCATCAGTCTGCAGCCTTTAGATAAATCAGGCTGCTCAGACAGCCTTGGGCCTCAGGGCGGGACCTGTCACTTGGTGTCATGACCTTTGCAAACTTTCCCCATGACGCCTACATCTCTGCTGCCGCGCGCCATATATGGCCTCAAGTTAAAAGATTTTTACAAGTGAAACACTTTCGTTCTGATTAATGTTTTTTTTTTTTTTTTTGTTTATTTACGTGGACAATTTACTTATTTCAGGCCCGTTTTGAACAGGCCTTTATAAATGCAAAATGGTAGTAAGAAAATAAATGAATAAATGCAAATAGGATTGGAATTATTATTATTACAGAAAGCCAAAGTCTTCATGTCACCTCTCAGTTTAAACTTAGTTGTTCTCTTATCCCTGACATCCGCGACACTCACTTCACAGGCTCCCACACAGTAGAATCGATATTCCTATTAACCCGTGACGTCGCTAATAAAGGACAATGACACCGTGTTTAAAGGAGACGGCCCTTCAAAAACAAACCTCCTCATCCAGTCTCACATCATGTCGGTGACGAGCCGCTTGTTTTCATAACCAGTTGAAACAAAAACGTCTGTGTTGTGATAGAAGTGCGTGTGGTGTCCTGCATGGCTGTCAGTCATGTAAACCTCTGCCTCTCTCTCTCTCTCTCTCTCTCTCTCTCTGTGTGTGTGTGTGTGTGTCCGGCAGGGGTTAGGAGGAGGAAACACATTGGACACACCAATGAGTGAATGTATATGAAGCTAAAGCTCATCCCATGAGAGCACACGAGTGTAAATGTACATTCATAATGCATGAGGCCCGGTGCGTTTGTTTGGTCTGCACTGCGCACACCCTGGTTCAAGGGGTTATTATATGTGTGTGTGTGTGTGTGTGTGTGTGTGTGTGTGTGTGTGTGTGTGTGTGTGTGTGTGTGTGGTTTTGTATAATGTGAAAGTGATTTCATTCACATCTGCGCATCATAAGTGAAGAGTTTTTACTTTTCAACAAGTTCTGAGTGAACTCCTCAGATTTAGGAGAAAATGAAGAACTGAGTGTTTTCCCCTCAAAGTGTCCGGTTCAGTTTGCACGAAACTTCATTCATGACATTTATGACGTGGAAATTTACATTTAATAAATTGATAACAGAATACAAAATGTGACATTCATCCAGAAGACTTCCAGGCAATTCAAACCGCATTTTTTTTTTTTTTTTGCATTATAAGGTTACTTTTCAACTTTTTAAAAAAATTATTAGCCTACAGATTTTTTCTGACTTCCCACCAGTGCCGAAGAGAAACAATTAATATGCGAAAACAGATTAACAAAGCTTTTCCCGATTCCGATGATCAGAGAGGTGTAATGTTTTTATTTTAAAAAAGAGTAAAAAAACATGAAAGTACACCTGAACTTGGCCGAAATTTTACTTTGAATTGAGAATACATCGAAAATAGAATCATCCTGATTTTACACGCCATGGCATCAGCAGTGCTCTTGAAATGATCATATTAATGACAAATAAATAAACCAAATAGCCATAAAACGTCATGTTTGCACAATATAAATACGATATATCGATAAATTAATGAAATGTATTGGCATTTGACGACTGTCATGACAATATTCTGACAGTACACACACTGGATTTCTTTTATCAGGTGAAGTTGTTTTGAATTTCCGAAGTCACTTCAAAATGTAACTAATTGAATTTCCTGAAACCACTGAAAGACACAAAGTGCAATGAGGGGCTTGGTTGAAATGTCTTAGGTCTGGATATTAGTATTCCAACTGCAAAGTTTCAGCGTTAAATTATTTTTGGTTTCTAGTTAATTAGAAAATGAATTCAGTCAAAACAACACAGGCCTGGGGTCACAGAGCCTTTCAGCTCCTGAAAATGCCCCCACCCCCCCCTCACCACACCAGGAGAACAAACACTCTGCAAATGCAATTGTTGCAATATAATTTTTTATTATCTGCCAGGATTTGAAACACCTGAACAAAATTGAAACTGTTTGTCCCTGTTGCCTTCCTTTAAACAAAGGTAATGTTTGTCAGAGAGATTATTCACTGTGTGTGTGTGTGTGTGTGTGTGTGTGTGTGTGTGTGTGTTACAGGTGCTGTTTGTAGAAGAGGCTAGTATATTGTCCCTGGGTCAGTGAAGGAA